ATGTTCATTTCTTATATAATAAATAAATGTTCATTGCTTACATTCGAGCGAGAATTTCACTACTTTCTGTTTAGTTAAAATACCATTAAAAAGTTTGTTTTTAAACGTCTTATTATTCTTTGTAAGTTTCATGTCCTGTAAAATGTTCCATTCTTTAATCGATCTTACAGCAAATGTACGTCCACCGACCTTCTGTTTCCTTCGTATATCTCTGGCAAATCAGACTTAGATTACTGAAGCGAGTATTTCTGCTGTGTATGTCACTGTTTAGCATTAGCTTTGATTTTTAAGTATCCTGGTGTCTTGTTGTGTGTTCTTCTGTGCATTAGGGTACATCTGTTTATGTACGCATCTTTGTAGAAGGGAATCCGGTTTAGTGTGTTAAACAGGAAAACAGAGCTTGCCCGATTTTTAGCATCCGTAATTATTCTCGCGGCCCTTTTCTGAAGTTTGAAAATACTGTTGAAGTCCTCTTTTGATGTAGATGCCCATGCATTAGCTCCATAGAGAAACACTGKTTTAATAACTGTATTGTAATATATCTTGTTAGTCATTTATTAAGGTGCATTAGGAGACCTATTCTTTTAGACACTCTCTTCATTAGTGCTTCTATATAAGAGTTGAACTCCAGATTATCATCGATTTCGATTCCAAGTATTTTGTGTRACTTTACTTCTTTGATCGATTGATGTGTTGTATAAAATAATATGTAGGTGTTTTTCAACGTTTAATTGGTTCATATACGCTTTTCTAGTCGTTTTCCAGAAATGAGGAGCGAGTGCTTTCGTCTTCTATTCGTTTATTATCATCTTATTCATCTCCGTCCATTCTTGGATTTTTCCATTTCGCGYATGCGCAAGATGTCAGTGTTGTGTCGTCTGCATAAATATCGAGATTTGAGTTATATACTGATGTGAAGAGGTAGATCATTAATGAAGAGTAGAAAGAGCATTGGTCCAGCTATTGTTCCCTGAGGAATGCCGTGTTCTATTGGTAATAATGATGTATGTATTTAGTATCTTTGACACACTGTTTTGTGTTTGATAAATACGATTGAAACCATGATAAGATTGCATCACTGAGTCCATATAGTTCCAATTTTTGTAACAGGATATCATGGTTTACCAGGTCAAAGACTTTTTTGTCTTCATTGTTTTAAATAATTTGTTAAAAAGTTAGTCACATGTTTTTCGAAAATCTTTGGGAGAATTGGTAAAATTGCAATTGGCCTGTAGTTGTTCACATCATGTCGTGGACGATCTTTATGTAGCGGTGTGACTATTGCTATTTTCCATTGGTTTGGGAAAGTACTGCTCTCGATTGAAAGGTTCATCAATTTTGTTAGTGGGGCTATAAGCGGTGGTGCTATTTTCTTTAGTATTCGGGCGCTCAGACCATCGTGACCTGTAGCTTTCTTTGTTGGTAATTTGTTAATGATTCTAATAATGGTTTAGCTTTCGTTTCTTTCGACGAGTATTTTAAGCTTGCGGGTTAAAACCGTTTCATTTTACAATATCGATGAAGAATTTTAAAACAGTGCAATCAATAACTTAGGTAGAACGTTAGCTACAACGTCTTTCAATCCGATTGGCTGTTTGGACATCTTTTATTTTCTAATAAAGCTGAAAAATAGAGAAAAAAKAAGTATTTTAATATYKYTMTGTATTTTACCATACTCAATGTCTTTCCCATSTGCATAAGGTCCTTCCTTGATTGTAGTTGCACTTAWTTTGTATGATAAAATTCAATTATTTTTATCAAACTCATTAATRATTCATGASGAAATWACAACAGAAGTCACGACCGTGAAAAGTGTTGTAAATCTGATACAAAATTGTGTTCATTTGCATAAACTTTAAGTTGGATTTTCTTGGCCAGATTCACTTTAATTTTCAAAATTTTAGTGAAACACAAAGGAACCAACCTAGACGTTTGATAAGTCATATACAGTATTCGTGTCCGTGTTGTATCCGATATTCAAACTCTCGGCTACGCCTCGAGTTCGTATATCTGACACCACACGGCCACTCATACTGTTTATATTACTTAACATTGATACTGTAGTTGAAATCAGCTGATCCACTGATAGTGGCTGTCTTGTTATTGGATCACGTGGTCTATCCCACGTAATAACAACGCGTGGCCCAAAGGAACCTTGTGTAGGCATCATAGTACCAGTGACATTACTGGAGCAGAAGGAGCTTTAGACAAAAGATAAGTAATACRATTTGTAAACATGTTATTACTTCAATACTGCAAGTAGCCCCCCTCCCCAAAACAATCTTGCCCTGCTGGACATGAAGTCCTAAAATTCATGTGTGCGCAAACTAACCATGAAGCTTGGATGACAGTACTTTATTCATTCCCAAACACAGCAATATACCGAATCGAAATATGGCGACTAATTTGAATAACTATTGTTCTGAACTAACTAGCCTCTCTTTCATTTGAAAACGCTTTAAGTCAGTTGATGTTAGTTAGTTCAAAACACTAGTAATAATGATCGCCATATTTCGATTCGGTGTACACATGCATATGTTTATTGTATGTTATATATTTTTCCACGCGAACCCGAGGTTAGTCAGTTCAAAACAATATGGTTACTCAAACTGGTTGCCATGTTTCGATTCGGTGTACGCATAATATGTTTATTGCACTTTTTTTTTCAGCTTTTAGTATCTCACCGTCCTCCATCGTTGTCACTTATCGCTCTGTACTTGGTGGACYACTCAGTGTACTTAGTGTTTCTGACTGCTATAGCGATGTTGTAAATTGAATACTTGAGTAGTGACGTCAGAGTATAGTTCCAACATCACCCACGTCAATTGAAAAATTATTAGATATAGATGAAACATAGAGCACAAGTTCACAGGACATTTTTCTTGAAGCTGAGACTTTTCTTGAATTTTTTTTAATAATACAGATTGACAGGAATAAATATTATTTACAATAACGAACCTTTTATTTAAAACTAACTCAAAGCACTATGAAACCATTTCAATTTTAAATACCTAAAATGTCAAACCAAGCTGTATCGTATGTTTTCTGATTAAAAAAGAAAAGAAAAGAAAAGAAAAGAAAAGAAAAGAAAAGAAAAGAAAAGAA